CGTAACGTTACGTTACGTTACTTACGTTCCGTCGTACGTACGTTACGTTACGTTCGTTACGTTACGTACGTACGAGACGACGTACGTACGTAGTAGAGAGAGAGAGAGAGAGAGAGAGAGGAAGAGGGGAAAGCGGAAAGGCTGTGGTATTTAAGCGAATGATTGCAACGCTGGGCTTTCACTTTTTCTACTTCGCGCTGTAAATTAACGGTAAAAATGTAAAAGAGGATCGAAAAAAAATCACACTTTTCTTTTTGACATGCATCGCTTGTTACTTGTATTCTCTCTCATTAATCTATGCATGTGATTCGTCTCATCTCTCTCTCTCATTAATTTCATCAAGATTAAGGGAAATTTATTTATGGGCGAGGTTAACATAAGGCTGCAACTCTAAACAATGCGCCCCTTAAAACTCTTTCATAAGATGCAGGTAAGGTATATATATATTTTTAGGGTGTCTCGAGAATCTATTTTTATTTTTGATTATAAAAATTTAAATTTTATAAATTGTTTAAATAAAGTAGATCTATAAACTCATAAAAATCTTGTAAATAGATAATCCAAATAATGTATTATTTTTGGGACTTTAAATTTTTTTTTTCTATATATATATATATATATTTCGATATCGAGACGATCGATTAGATAGTTTACTATGTCAAAATAGCATTTTCCGATATATTTTTGAGATGCATCTTAATTCTACAATTTAAGGTATCCACCTTATATAAAGTTTTTCAACATGCACCACAATATAAGGTGTCAACCTTAATTCTATAATTTAAGGTTTACCGACGATGTATAAACCTTTTAACACTTATATCTTTTTTGACTTAATTTCAAAATACCCATAAAAAAATGATATTGTAATAGTGGCAAATGGACAAAATACTAAATACTCCATCTCATATGTGTATTTTGACAAATTTTCCTAAATTTTAAAATGGGTGTCACTAGTATGAAGCCTAAGCTTTCATGTTACAAACTAGGTAAAAGTATTGTCATATCTTATATGTTTTCTTATATTAAAATTGTTTTTTATTTTTTGTATGTTATGTTTATGTTTGTCAACCCAAATAGTTGATATAAGGCTATGATGATGATGATAAGCTATATTAATATTTCTTTTCTTTTTTTTATCTTTTTTTTTTTCTTTAGATATTCCAGGTTCGGAACTTCAAATTGTTATAAAGTCTTGAATAACCATCTATTTTCCTAAATGACATTATAAATCTGGATCTTGAACTTTTGAACCAACATTTTTTAGAGTTAAGTGGAAGTTCCAAACTGCTTATCCACTCAAAAAAATAGACATGTATCATTGATCAGGAACTTGAATTTTGAACCACTTGTTCACACAAAAAAATGCACGTGTCCTTAGTTCAAAACTTCGAGTTCGGAATCAAGGACACTTGTACATTTGTTGGATGACCAAGTGGATCAGAACTTCAAGAACCAAATTGCTTAATTTTCAAATGTCACTAAAAATGGCACTATATTGGGGAAAGAAACTTAGAAAAACAAAAGGACAAGAGCGTAAAATATGTATATTGGGGACAGAAACTTAGAAAACAGAAGGACATGAGCGTAAAATATGAAAAATGGCACTTCTAAAAAATAAAAATAAAAAAACTCAAAAAAAGGAGAATTATGAAGAATTCCTAAAAAATAAAGTCTCATCCCAATATTATTACTTAAAATGGAGATTCAGAGCTACATACCCCTACAACGGTGTGAAGATCATTTCCTTATTATCAAATTTGAAGTTCTAAATATAGTGCAGAATTGGTGGATCCATAAGACTTGAAAATGGACTATTCAAATAAGTTGTTATAAGATACATTATTTGCAGGGGCTTGAAATTTATCATTTTAAGATCCTAACTGTCGAGATCAATATGATATATTTGAAGATTTTCAACATCGAAACAACATTTTCAAACGGGTTTTAAAGGGCAGATTTACTTTTTATTGCTCATGTACTAACTAAAAGGACACCTTAACAACACTATGTTCGAATACAATACACCACCAAGCATTTTCCATCAGATTCTCATGACGGACGATGGAGATCGATTATTGAAATCTGTAGCATCCACCATCTATGAACTCAGGTAGATGCAAAAAAAACTTGTATTATTAAATTACATGGGGTTGTTAGTGTAATTATTGGGTTTGGTAACATGGTTCCCATTGAATGTAGCATATTAACCTCTACCAATAAATTGAGGCTTAAGTAATTCCTGCGTATATTTAGACTTTAGAGCATATACCTAGTCGATCATAAAGAGATAAAGAAAAAGAGAAAAGAAAATGATACACTTTTATAATGCCTTCTTTAAGTGATAATTACAAGTGAAATGAATTAATGAGCTGGGCTTACTTGGGCTTCAACCAAAATCCAGATTTTAGGAAGATTTTTACTAAACCCTAAAACGAACCTAAATGGGGTAATAAGCTTTGATTGGGAAAAGAGAAAAGGAACAAAATAACTCTTCATCAAGGGAAAACTGGGTTTTACCCTATTATGAAATTGGGTAAAGCAAAAAAAGGATCCAAACGGGCCCTAAAACCCTTCACTAGAACTCTGGGCCAATTGCACAGACATAAATAATGTGTCATTCAAAACTCTCTCAATATATAACAAAGGATTGTATACTATGAGATCATTTGTCCTTGTTACAAGGATATCATAATTCTACTAGCCATTAGATGTCAAATTGGGTGGCTTGGGATGTCACAAGCTCCGAGAAATTCTTTTTTGAACTTTAAGACAAGTTAATAACTCATTCACAACCACCCAATTTAAAATCTGATAGACAAGAATTATTGTGACCTCATTGTCGTAAAGATAAATAGTCTCTTTATATACTATCTATATAATAAACCCCTATAATTGGAAACCAGAATACAAACAAGTCAGCATGACCTTATTTTCTTTTCAAAATAACTTATCGGGTGTAGGTTTTATAAGGAATCGATCTTAAACCCTTAAAGTAAAGTATAACCCAAACCCTACATGAAGATATAGTTCCAATGCCAGAAACGCTGGCTTGAAAATCTACTTTCGTGGTTAATTATAAAATTCAAAGCACTGAAAATGGTATAGATTGAGCAAAATCTACAAGCATTTGAAAATCCTAAGCATAGATAGTCCAGATATGTTACAAGATGCACAATTTTTAATATTTAGAATTTTTTATTTTTTGTTTAGATATATCTTGATGTCAAGATGATCAATTTGACGGTTTTACAACGTCGATACACTTTTTTTTTCAGTGAGTTTTTTACGTGCATTTCAATCTCATAGTATAAGGTTAACTCAATTAAACTAGGAAAAGAATATCATATGGTGGTGGTTGTATGTAGTAGCCTTGAAACTATCAATGGAATATAGAGCTCAAAACATGATTCATGTCTGGTTGATTATGTACCCTGGTCAAATTTACTAAAAAAAGAATGGTAGAAAAAAATAGAAAAATAAAAGGTAGTGCAAGATGAACCACTTTTTGATATCAAAAATCTTTTAATTTTTTTTCTTTTTTGCATTATGATCGTGGAGGTAAGGATAATGGATTCATCGAGTTGAGTTTCTGGTGCTGGTTTGTTGACATGTTTAGAGTTGCCATTGCATGTCCCCCTGACCAAATGAAAACCTCACCCTGAAGTTATTGTTGGGGTGTTTTGTTATTTCAGCAAAGGAAATAATACCATAGAACATGGGCACGGTTTATATAAAGCTCCTATTTTACTCGTAGAAGTAAGATTTTGTAACTTTATACTATTCATTTTAGTTAAACAATGTAAATTTCGTATGTTTTTTAAGACAATGTTAAAAAATGAGATGTGGATTTCCTATGTTTTTAAAGACAATATTAAAAAATGAGATATCTTTTAAGATAGTGCGAAATCTAAAAGATCTAATTAAAAAAGAAATTACTTAGACAAATAAGATAAAAAAAAACTCGTCTCGAGCTTCGAGGGCTTGCAATTGATACATTCCATTATTCCAATGTTACAGAGGAATCCAACGGTTGTGGACCTGCTCCTTTATCAACAGTCAACACCTATATCATTTTCCTACGGCCTACATGAACATTTCCCATCAAGCAAAGGAAAGAATCTAGAGTTGCTGCGCCCTCGCCCTATAATAAAGTTGGGGTTCTTCCCTTTTCAACCAGAAGGATCATATGACACACATCCAAGCACATAGACTAAGAAAATCAATAAATAGAAAATGAAAATAAAAATAAAAAGGTCCATGTCGAGGTGCGGCTTGGATGCATGCGTCGTCATTGTTTCCCGAGAACCCTGAAAATCTATTTCAAAGCCATGGAAATCTAATTCCAATCCTAATTAGCAATGTTGGGGCACTCGAAATGATCCAAATGAGACACTTTCAAAAATCGAAATGGATAAGTCCAGACCTGGGACAATATATCGGGGATCCAAATGCATGTTCTTCTTCGTGTGAGATACATGATCATTGTGGTCCATACAATGGATTTGCATAGGTGATGCATGGCAGTCATCAGCTCGTGTCGTAAGGTTTTAGGTTCCGAGCCATACAAGAGAGACACAAGTAACCCGTGGGAAACACGTTCTCGAACAAAAAAATCCCAACTAAAATCCTAGCATGAGGTTTCTCATCTAATTAAGTCAAACATACAAATTTTTATTACTAATAAAAATGATATTTCGCTCTTAACAAGTACAAGGTGGACTTTAGTTTTCATTTTACAAATTGTGAGGGGTTTTTTACTTGATATTTTGAGGTCGGCATCCACTTTTTCCATCGCCCATCTCTGCCGCCATCGCTTGTCATAGCCGCCCCGCCCTTGCACACCAACTTAAAACTAATGCCCTTATTACCCCCAATGCCCTTGCTTTATC